GATCACCGCAAGTTCTTTAAAGTAAAAACTAACTTTCAAACACTATAAAAAGGTCCTTTTAATGGCAATTATTATAAATTTACAGCTTACGAATTGCGCTTATTACATTTGAGAGAACTTTATAACTATAGCTTCATTCAAACCTTCAAGTCCATTTTACCTAGAAAACCAGGTTTCCATTTAGTTCTAGCCAGACTTAATTTTCTACTAGTTTTGTTTTTGACATGAATATTTTATAGAATCTGAATGTAAAAGAAACTCTTTCGAAAAAATTGCTTTAAATAGAAAGTAAATATGAAGAGATTTGCTTTCAATGACAGCCCCAGATTTGTCTAAAATTACATAAACTTTAAGACAAAAGTCATGTAAAAAGTTGCTCAATTAACATATAGTTTTGCGTCTGCTGCCCCTCAAATCTCATAATACGAGCTTTCGAGCCAATACAAAACTATTTGTAAAGAAATCAAAGTACCAGTCAATATGCACAATACTTTTAAACCAAAAGTTAAAATAGAATTCGTTAATAAGTTATGATAAGAGGGCAAATGTGTGTTGCGATTTTGAATAAAGGTAAGACTCCCAAGTTTATAATAAAACTGTTGATAATTTGATTTAGAGTTGAAGTAACATTGAAGGAAAAATAAGGATTTAATCTTTTACTTTAATATTACTATTAAACATGAACTTTGACAGAGACAGTTTAAAATTTCGTAGTTTTTTATAATGTTCCAAAAATTAACTTGTATAGACCAGCTTTTAAAAGAAAACTCGGGAAAACTATCAGTTCGATGTATTATATTTGATAATGAACTCAGATTCGCGTAGTTCATTAATTACCCCTTGTTTTTTTTCTTCGAAGTTAAGCTCATTTAGAATAATTCAACTGTTTACGCCCCATAAGTTGGATCTATCGGAAACTCTATCTAGGGACATAGCTTTACAACACAGATAAACATGTGTAAAACGAAAAATTCCAAAACCACTCTACAAGTGTGGAGGTCGAATTGGTAGAATTGACGCTGATTCGGATGTTCGTGACCTGAAATCTCCATGGAACTCTAGCACTTACAGCCGAACAACATAGAAACTTTTAAACTAGTTCATGAATGAAATTTTAAAGGATTGGGTGGAGTACAGTAAGGTCCTGGACTGTAATTTTAGTTTCGCAGGTTCGTGCCCTGAAAAAATCCCCCAGCGCTTTAAAAGTGTTTATTAGAACTAGATCACTCATTAAAAAAATCTTTTAAAAAAAAAAGTGATCTAAGCGTTATGCGGATGAGGGCTGCCTTTCGAAGATCTTAAACTAAGCGCTAAAAACTTTGCATCGTTCTGAATTTGAAACTTAGAATTCTTAGATTTGCGATCGATGAAAATTTTGATACCAAAGTTTGAAATGCAGCTCTAACTTCCCAAGTCTTAAAATATATGAACTACAGCAGCGAACATTTATAGTTGCCATATTCAACATTTATTTTGATGCAGACTTTTATTAATCTTTAAGTGCTAATAATCGATAAGCATATTTCTGGAGTGTCTTAGGGCAAAGCTTTTCTAAATTTTGAGTAATTTAACAGTATTTGCATTTAATAGTTTTCTAAATTTTCAATTCTACGTAAGTCTTTCAAATAAATAAAAGGTTTAAATGTAATAAGCAAATTTTATACGAATTTTTTATGAGCCAAAATTTAATTGAAATGTTTAACACTAAATTTACACTTTTTCCATGTATTAAAAGTACAATTTACTAATAGTTTTAAGTATTTTTATTCGCTTTAAACTCGTGTTAAAAGTAACGAAATTTGAATTGAAATCTTAATTCTTGTTACCCTAAAGCTAAATGTTTCTTAAATATCTTGTATCAGTTAGATTACATGACTCAAACTGTATTCTTAAATTTGTTTTATTTTAAAACAATGTGTATTTAATAACAAATGTATTGAATTACAATAGTATGAAATTCAATTTATATTTAATGTTGATGTCAACGATATTATTGTGTGTGTATATATATATAAGTATTGGGTGAGTAATGTGTCTAGAATATTAGTTTTAAAGCACTCTTTTTGTACACATTTCGCCACTAAAAATGCTCCTAGTATCAATCATTTTAAAAAATGAATACTGGCTTATCGTGTAGTTTGTTTCGTATTAAACCAAAGGTCGCTGGACAAGTTTATAATCTTTTCAGAATTTTCAAAGATACTAAATTTTAAACCAGTTATCAAAATATTATAAACTTAAATTTTCTAAATTAATCATTTTGTTTTCTGGATAACAAAATTTTCCGATATATCTTAATTAAAAAATTAAAATTGTGTATGACAATGCAGTTTTATTTGTTCTGTAACTTTCTACATTTGAATACTAGACCTTTTTTAATAGTAATAGTAAAACAGTCTTAAAAATTATACTCACTACGTTAATTTATATTTTTCTTAAATTTATTTCAGTTTAAAATTCTAAATTTTATTGTAGCTTAAGCCTAAGGTTGAATCTGTCATTTTGTAAAAGGGTCTTCTTCAATTTGGATCCATTGAAGAAACCCCTTTTTCAAAATGATTCCTTCAATTTTGGCTTTCATTAAAGGATATTAGATAAAAATTTAAAACTGCGAAATAAAATTTAAACTCTTAGCTAAACTTAACTGAACAAAATTTTAAAAGTGAACTTTCATAAATTTTTTAAGTTTCGTTATTTAAAAATGTTGCAATCACATGTTCAAAAATTTATTACAATAGTTTCAGATAAAATAGTTAAATAAACAATAACGTTAACTGATATAATTAGCCATTTATAAATCTCCAGCTGTGTAGAAACAAAATAGTATATGTAATATTGGTTTAAATTTCTTTATTAAATAGATTTAGTGGCGAATGTTTTCAGTATTTTGTATTGAATTATTTCTTTGATACTTTAAAATGCTAAATTTGTAAAAGCTTGTAATTTGTCTTGGACAGAAATAAAACTTACGTTTAGTTTACTTTTGGTCTTTTATTAAATAAGAATAAACTTTTGTTGGGTTACGTTGTAGGATCGCGATAATCGAGGATCTTTTATACATACTTTAGCACGAACTCTTATTTCCGGAAGAAACCTAAAAAAGAATTTAGAAGAAAAATTTACTTAAAATCCACTCAAAACCAGTTTACTCGGCATGGTAGAGAACAAAAGTTTTATGGCACTTAAAATGATCTGGTTTACTAATGCAAAATGTTCTTTATATTGAAAAACAAAGTATATCAGCATACGTTAATTCCAGTTATATTGTAAAAAAAACTAATCACTTTTTAAATATACTAAGCGTCTTTTACATTGCATTATTAATTCAAATGTAAAGATTTAAAAATTTATTTATTTCAGCAGCAAAATTGCTTGATAAAAATATTAAACGTTATAAATGCAAACAGAGGTTAGAAATTTTTCTTTCGTGAAAAAAAATGCCATTGCACTTTGTATTTAGGATTTTGAAACATTTTCTGATTTTTGAAAATTCGATGCTTTAACACAATCATTTTTGAATTTTTACGAATCTGAATTTAAATTTCTGGGTCATAGTTCCAAAGGCCATTTTTAAAAATACCTCGTGTTTTTTGTAGTATATTTAACTATTCCTGAGTGCTAAAAATCGTGTTAAATTATGCTAAATTAAATGAAGCAGTCTTAACGGTAATTTCGTAGATTTTGTGCGAATCAAAGCTTTTAATAATTTAAACTCTTTTAGTCTTGTTCTAATGCTAAATCTTTAACTTCAAGAATAGTTTGTTTTTAAAGAATACAAAAATAGTGTCTAAAAACCATTAAATGGAAATGATTTCGTGCTATTTC